CACGAGATAAGACATAGCACTACCACTACAGATTGCAGGAGGAAGGTCTTTTCAAGAAGTAGCGCCAGAACAATATGGAAATAAAAGATTTATAGCTCCCATTAAATACAAGCATCAATTCTAGGTGAATAATATGGACTTAAAGGTCTGTTTAGCCTTGAAAGACTAACCTCTAAAACTTTCAGAGGATAGCCTATCTTCATGCGTGAGAGTAGGAAAGGTTTTCTAAACAAGTCACAAGAGTATCAACTGTAAGGGAAAAAAATAACTACACTAAGCCTGAAGAACTTCTATTCACCAAGACACAAGCCAGAGTAATATATCTGCAATACATGTATCCATAATATATAATGGCCACAAATCCATAAGAAAGATGACTTAAAAAGGCAAGAATGTTGACCAGCACGTCACAAAAGATGGTGTCCAAATGGTTAGTAGCATGTGGAAGAAGAATCAGCATCATTAGGGAAATCAAAATCATAATGAAATATGACACCCCCCGCCAGAATGGCTATGATTAAAGAGGGACAAATTGTTCATGAGGCTGCAGAGAAGTTATAACTCTCATACACTGCTGCATGGGAGTATAAATTGGTATAATTTGTAAAACTGCTTTGAAGCTAACCTCATAGGTATTTCCCTAATAAAAACAGCATACATACAGCAAAACACATGTACAAGAATATTCATGACATCGTCATTCATAATAGCACCAAACTATAAACAACCCAAATGTTCACCCACAGTGAAATGGATGATTCAGTTAGTCTGTTCATGCAATGAGAATACTAGAGTAATTGATTCAGTAATAAAAAATGGATCATCTACAACATGGATGAATCTCAAATGTAATCTTGAACGACAGAGGTCAGAAAGGAAAGCGAAAACATACTAGATAACTCTATATGAAATTCAAGGACAAGCAACATTATCTCTGGAAATAGAACTCAGAGCCATGATTCTTTGCGGAACACTGAAGAGGGCATGAAAGAACCATCTGTGATACTGTAAATGTTCTGCGTCTAGACCTGGGCTACGTGGACATGTGCCTTCATCAACCTGTACACTTAAGATTTATGCATTTGACTGTAATATCTTAATTGAAACCACCAGAATACCCTATAAAAACCCAAAACCAGAAAAATAATGTCACAGGTACCTGGGTTTCTGTACTACTATTGCACCCTGAATTTTGAGAAATATTTATAAGCACCTAACTTAATGAGGAAAATACCTTTGTCCAAGTCATCAACTATTCAATTTATATCCCTCTACCTACCAATGATACATTAATCTGTTTTTTTTTTTTTTAAACAAAGGCAAACAACAGAATGAGAAGGTATTATGGAACCTACAATCAGAAAGACCTGAAAATCTATTAGAAAAAGACAAAATATGGAAAAGTAAAGGGGGCAAGAGATTTCTTACTTGTTCCTTTGCACTTTCTGGTATTTCCCAGTTTTTCTAAAACTAGCATATACTAACTACATGAATATGCTTTCCTTGTAAGAAATTAAGACATTCCAGATAAGGCTAAAAAGTCCCTGTTGACCTCTAATTCTGGATTCCTCCCTAATACCTAGAGAAAATGATTATTAACTACTCGGTATGCTTTTTTGCTAGATCTTTTTCAATGCAGTGTTATTTGTGGGGTTTATTTTTTGTTTACATCTATGGCATCATGTGTGTCTTAAAACTTTTAAGCTCAATATTGTATCTTCCACTATTTTTTATCTTGGTATGTGCAAAGCTACTTTATCAGCTTATTCTTTTTACCTGCTTCACAGTTTTCCATGAGAATGGATATTCCACAGTTTATACAGCCTTTCTTCTACGATGGCCATTAGGCATCTTTCTTTTTTTTTTTTTTTTGGCAATTAGTAGTCCTCTTTCATTGAGAACAATTGGTATGTCATTTAAATATTTAATTCTAGCTTCCTAAACTAAAAAAACCTCCAGAAAGTTCATGCTTCATTCTAATCTCAGAAAGCACTGTCTAGGCTTGGAGATCTCCCCGGCTGTCTAAGTAGAAAGGGGAGTGTGGACTTCAGTGAGCCTAATCCCTGCTCTGTGTTCCCCACCCTTCCCCGACCCCTAGCCCCCAAGGACTGGGATCATCAATACTGGAAACCTGTGCTTTAGTTCTTCCACCTCTGCTGCTGCTATGCTGTGTGACTTCAGGTGAGTTCCTCCTCTCTCTAGTTCTCTGTTTTCTCACTTATGAATAGAAGGAGTTGAAACATTCATGCTGTAGGGGGTCTGTCTCAGCTCTGAAGGTCATTGATACTGAGTGTCCTGTTGTCCTTAGTGATACACGCGAGCGACCATCCAGACAGTGCCTGAGGAAGTTGTCCTTTCCTTGCAGCCCCCATCAATAGTCTGCCTCCTGGAGTCTGAATAGGGGAAGCTGAAGTGATGGTCTCTGAATCACAGTTCCTCATGAAGAGAGGTGCTTAACAGGAGACTCTCGGGGACTGAGGCTTCAGGGACCCCCCACCCTGACCTCCACTGTTCCTGATGCCCCTGAGGCCTTCAGAAGTTGTCCCTGTGTATCCCTGGGACTTCTGAAGGCTACATTGCTATAGCAACCTGGGTCTGCTGATCTGTGTAAAAAACCTATCAATTAGTTGTCTGGAAAGTCCATTTAAGGGGTAACAAGCAATTACTTCTTATAGAGGAAGAGCAAACAGTCCCCATTTCAGGGCCTCTCAGGGTGAGTTTCAGAGCGGCAGGTCCAAGTCACTCATTTTAGGGATGGGGGATGAAATGAACTGGTTCATCCCAAGTCACAAAGACAATCAGAGGCAAGGCATCCTTTCTGGCTCTGATTCGGAAGCTCCATTATCTCTCTACCTTTGTTCCAGGCTCTTCCTTTCCCCTCCCGTCTATTCTCCAAGCACCTACTGCCTCCAAGATGGGCTCTAGACTGTAAGAGACTTGTCCTTCACTCTCCCAATAGCCCCCAGGCCTTTGAAAACAGCCAAGCAGACCCCCTCACCTGCTGCTCACATGGCATCCTGCAGTGGCCCATGAGGCCCCAGTGACCTGCTGCCTGGCTGCCTCCCTCCACGGCTCTTACCTCTGTCCCCTTGGCACCAGCTGACTATGAGGTCCTCCCTGTCCCTTAAAGACCAAGCTCTATCCTCTTCAAAAACAGCACATCCCTCTCTGACACAGCCACTCTCCCTTTATCCTGTAATCCTGTGTATTCCTCCACAGCTCCCCTCCCCATCTGCAACCACAATCTGATTATTATGACTTTGCTTGTTTCCCTCTCTGGAATAAAAATGGCAAAACTCTGTCTCTTATTCATGGCCATTAATCCACAACCTAGAACTGCTCCTGGCAATGAAGAGGCTCGCCACGCCTCTTGCTGAATGAGTGGATGGAGGCTGAAAGAGATTCCCACTAGGTCCTGAGTATGATGCACCCCAGAGTAACATCCTTCTGTTTCCTTCTGCTCCAGGCTGTCTCTGCTACCCTGACACCCGTAGGACTGGGCCCACTGGGAGCACCTTGGGGAGGAAGGAGGAGAGCACAGCCTCTGAGTCAGTCGTGAGGCAGAGTAAATCCAAGTGGTCATGCAGGAAGAAGAGTGTGCCGGTTCTGTGGGGTCCTAAGAGGGAGATGTATGGGGGGTGTGCTTTGTTCAATATGACAACACTACCGATGTACCGATGGTTTAGTTCTTACTGCATGAGCTTTACATGTGGTGTATCTTTCCAGCCTTGAAACTATCCTGCAAGGTAAAACAACTGTCTCCCATCATAAAAAATGAAGATGACAGTGCATGTTCTCCCTCGGCCTGGGACAGCTTCACCAGGCAAATTCCTGCTCATTCTCCAGGCCACCTCCCCGGAGAAGTCCTTCCTCAGCCCCAAGAACACACTGAGTTCTCTGCTTTCTGTTCCCACGGGACCCTGCACTCACCCCTCCTAGCTCTTGCTGTAACCACAGACACACGATTTCAGCGTAAATATGGACAGGACAGGAGGCAGGGCTGGACACTGCTACATGCCCCAGCACAGTGCCTGTCCTGAGGTATCCAAGGAATAATTATCTAATGAGGGAGATGGAGCAGGGAACCCCCTAGGGGCCTGCAGCACCACCCCACCTAAGCATGGAAATAAAATCTTGAGTTTCTTCAAGGGAAATTCCAGGCACCTAGCTAGCCCTGAGAAGTAAATAAGCAAGCTGATAAGCAAGAAGGTAATAGTAACTTAAAGATAACATCTTCACATATGAGCCGGAGTTGTTTTTCAGAAACCTGGACCCACACCAAACAGATGTGCTGGCATGCAGACCTCAGATAAGAGGGAACTGCAGGCCAAACTCTGACCGCAGTTCTTTGTTCTAAACTTATTTCTGGGAGGCCTGGAAGAAATCATACCCACAAGCCAGAGCTAACATTCTTTTCTGCTGACCCTAAATTTTAAAGCTTCTCTTCCTTACCCAATTGCAAATCAGAAACTCTCTGAATCTACCTATGACTATAAGCCCTTACCTACTTCAAGATAGCCTGCCCCATTGGGCTAAACCAATGTGTAACTTCCATACAATGACTTAACTTTGCCTGAAACTTCTGCTTTCTTGAAACTTACGCCTGCCTCTAAAAACCCTTGTTTGCAAGCCATTGGAGAGGTGAGGTCTTAGGTGAAAACTGCTCAGTTCTCCTTGCTTGGTACCCTAAAAATAAACGCCCTCCTTTCTCCTGCAGTAAACCTCGGCGTGGATGTTTGTCCCCTACTGTGCCAGGCAAGTGGACCCCAGTTTGGTTCCATAACATGAGGGAATGGCAAACTAAGACCTAGACAACTGCACTAATCGTGAATGGGAGAGCTAGGACTGGAATCCATGTCTGTCTGGAAATGAACTGAAAAGAGCATGTGAGCTTACACTAAAAGAGCACAAATTGATGCTGCAGGAGCCTCCATATCTGGTTGGAGTTGGCATCCCCTCCAACCTGGAGATACCTCAATTCCTTTGGGCTTTGGACTTACCAGAGCTTGCTCTATGAGGAGGCAGAAGAGGATGGCATTGCCCACTTCCCTTAGGCTCTGGAACACGTCTGTTTTGAGCTCTGCATACTCAATGATGTCCTTCAGCTGGTGGTGGAAGAACTCCAGGATCCCTGGGAGGTGAAGCGCGATGGGTCAGTGGGAAGTTGACACTGCTCAGTAGGGTCTATGGGAAACAATGACTGAGTGGCAGCCCCAGACCTGACTCTCGGAGAGCAAAAAGCCAAACCACGCATCCCTCTTCTCTGCAGGCCCAGAGTGAGATTTCTTTCAGGGCTCAGTACTGGAAAAAGTTCGAGAAGTGGGCTCGTGTCTTTTTCAGAACACACACACATGCGCACGTGTACACACACACAAATGAGGCAGCATTGGACCCTTTCCAGTCCCTCCAAAGTTGCCTGAATTCCTATCATGACAGGAATGAATATTTATTAGTAGGTGTCAGATATTGTGCTGAGCACTTTATCTGTACTATCTCATTTACTACAACAATATCACTAGGCACTATTACCCCTGTTTTCAGATAAGGCTCAGAGAGGGTAAGGGGCATGCCCATAGTCACATAGGTAGTAAGGAGGGCAGCTGGGACTGAACTCCAGAAATTTTAGCCTTATCTTTTTCCTATTCTCAATCATGCAGACCCAGCACTAGACATCTTGGTTTTGAAAAGAAACATCAGATGCCAAGTCATAGTCCCCATCTTTCCCTCTTCTCCAGGCCCTGTATTCAGTTCACTATCAAGGAAGGAAATAATTATTTCTCTGCCCAGTGGTCAAACAGCAAAGATGTCCATTTCCTGACTTATCTTAGATATGTCAACTTGGCACCACTTCCTGGAGCCTCAGTCTCCCCAAATATGCAGATGGAGGAAGATCTGGAGGTGCTGAGCTCATAAGTACCGTTTCTAATAACCTGGCTCTGTATTATTTAAACACGCTGACATTTGCTGTCCTCTTCCAACTTCCCAGCAGTCCCATGAGGCAGGCCCCGCAAGCATCGTCTCCCTCCACTGACAAGATGATACCATTGCTCAGAGGGATTAAAAGGCTATCTAGCCAGTGGCGGGGGAGGATGGAGAGCCAGTACTCTGCCAGCTCACTGGCATGTTAGAGAAGCAAACGCTCTGAGGTGGATGGTCAGAGCCTCCCTCCCCTCTATGGGATGGGTCTGGATTGTTTTGCTGTCACCAACCTGGGGAGCCATACTCATGTCGGGGCAAGCGGCATATCTTGGGCATCACCTCTATCAGTGTTTTCACATACTGGAGAATGGTTCCTTGGAGCTGACAAAAGAAGAGTACAGATGAGTGAGAGAATCTGCTGCAGCAAGTGTGCATCTCTGGGCTGAATTCTGGGCTATGGAGGTTCTGTTGAGACCTCTGAGAGGAAGGGGCAGGCTTGCCTAAAGGTGGAGAACAGTCCCTTTGACCTTTATAAGGGAAAATAAGCCTTTATAAGACTGAAAAAGGAGCTCTCTCATTATTCTTTTGGGCTTACAGACTTCAAGGAGGGCACATTTCTAGGTGTAGGGTCTTTCCTGGGGCTGAGGATGCTTGTATCAGATTCAGACTCAGAGCTAAAATGAAATGGAGCCAGGAAATTGTGGAGATTGAAACATGCTATTTAATTTCAGCCTGGAAAATTCATGGCACATTCATCCCTCCTGTGCCCAAGGCAGACATCTTTAATCAATTACCACATTTTCTTGTTTTACTCTGGATTTAGCTCCACAATCTTTAACAACCCATGGTTCCACAAAGCTGCTGCCACAGAATTGGAGTTAGCAGATTAATCCTATTTGCTATCCCTGATCTGGTTATAAATTACTTTTGTCACTTGAAATTTTCATAAACATCTTAAATGTTTTGGCCTTCAGCAGTGTTACAGGAAATTAAATGAAATTCAGATGACCATATTTGGGGCAGATGCAGAATAGTGGTAAAGGGATATAGCGGTAAAGGGATACAGAACTCACTTAAAGCCAGTGCAGTATGAGAAGCAGTGTTTAGCAAGAAATCCCAAGGGAAAGAAGCATGGTGATTGATTAGAGATGTCTGCCATGGGTAAGGGCGTGGAAAATGGCAGCTACAAGTGTCATGAATTCGCCCTGCTCAAATTAGATAATGGAGCACAGCTGGGGAGCATAAGGAGTCAGTGGTAAGTGCTGAAGGACAAAATCAGGATTTCTGACTTCAGTCATCAAATACAAGGAGTTTGGGGTCAGAAAATGAGGAGCACAGCTATAGGTCAAAATGTGCACAGAAATGTAACAGAATGATAGGTAAGACCAATCCAGGGATACGGGCAAGGGACTCCCTGAGCAGTTTCTACAGGCAGAGCTGCAGTGCCTGGGATTTGTTTTTACAGGCCAGGTAAAAAGTAAAAGCAAACCTTGTTTATGTCAAACCCACATGGGCACATCTGAAGCCACACTGAGGCCTTTCCTTACCAAGCTCTTCACAATCTTTAGCAGTTCCTCCATGACCACAGCGATGCCCTGGTAACCCAGGAGTCTGCAGATAGTCTTGAAATGAGGTGGCCCCACGAAATTCCTGTAGGAGCTGTAGATGTGGCTGTAGGCAATGTTGAGAGGCTGGAAAACAGAGTGGCAAAGTAAGTGCCTGAGTACTGAATGGATGCTGGTGGAGTCCTGGCAGATGTTCCGCTGACAGAAGAATTAGGAACTCAGTGTTATGAGTGTGCTCACTGGGGCTCTATGAATACGTTTGCAAAATGGTGGCCATAGAGAGAGGTATGGTCAGTGACTACAGGATGGCGCACAGTCACCAGATGGAGCAGCCACTCCCTAGCAGAAGAGGATAAAGGACTTCCAAGCAAATATCCCTTTTATAGGGATTCCTGCCACCCATGATGTTCCACACCCAAACCAGGAGTTTCACAAATGGAGCCATGGGGGAAAAGATAAACAGCCAATTTCCTTTCTTAAGAGGCATTTCTAGTACTAGACATTGGCTGGAAGAACCATGTGGAAACTCAACAGCTGCTTCAACATTGTCATCTTTCCTCTACTGTTAGTTGTTTCCATCTATGACAGGCGGGGTCCTGGGAACACACAGGCCTGGGAGTTAGGAGACCTCTGCTGAGTGCATGGGACAACTGCCTAGGGTTTTTGAGCCTTAGTTTCCACATCTATGAAATGAGCGGTTGGATTAAGTCAGTGGTTTCCTAACTTTAAGAGCAGCAATCCGAAGGAAAGATGCCACGGAAGCTCATATGTGAAGCAGGCAAAATGGAGCTGCTCTGGCTTGGTGCTGGCTGGGGACCCAGAGCGCTGGCCACCACCATGGTCCTCTGGACCCCATGAGACACCATAACTGAACCTGAAGGATCTCTTTAAGATCCTTGTCTGAGAATATACAACCAAACTATAGGGCCCTAAATTGGTCTCACTTGTTTGGTGAGAATGTAAAGTTTTCATTGACTGTAACGCTCTGTTCTGGAAATGCTGCTTACGAAGCACCTAATGCCAGGCTTTGTGAAGCCCTCCAGGTACATTCTTGTTTAATCCACCCAACAAACCTATGTGATCTATATCATTATTAGTCCCATTTCACAGATGAGGGAACTGAGGCTCAGGTGGGAAGCAGCCTGCACTCACTTTAAGTGGGTATGGCTGATTCCAAAGCCCATGCTCCACCTACCATGGTGTATTTTGGAAGTTGAATTCTTATATAAATGATACTCAGTTTTTTACATAAGGTTTTAATTCAAAACTTAGGTTTTTTTCTTTGTTTCTTTGTTTTTTGAGACAGAGTCTTGCTCTGTCACCCAGGCTAGAGTGCAGGGATGTGATCTCGGTTCACTACAATCTCTGCCTCTGGGGTTCAAGCGATTCTCCTGCTTCAGCCTCCCAAGTAGCTGGGATTACAGGTGCCCTCCACCATGCACAGCTAATTTTTGTGTGTGTGTTTTTAGTAGAGGCAGGGTTTCACCATGTTGGCCAGGCTGGTTTCAAACTCCTGACTCAAGTGATCCGCCCACCTCAGCCTCCCAAAGTGCTAGGATTATAGGCGTGAGCCACTGCACCCAGTCCAAAACTTAGTTCTGAGTATAGTTCTCCCAACTGGAATTGCAAAAATCTTGTACATGAAACATGCAATTTATGGGATGACCACATACGGTATTCTATTCACTGAAATTCTCTACTAGCTAGCTAGTTAGAAATTCTACATCAGTTAAATGGAAATTCTCATGATGCTTTTGAAGTACTGCAAGATCTTCAACTCCCTTTGGAGCCATCAAGAAAATATTTAATTGAGTTCAGTCTAAGTTTTGAGTTAAGTATGTATATATGAATTATTCTAAACTTTACAAAACAAGCATCACAAATATGCACTAATAACAAGGACACGTGAAGAACACAATTAGAGTTCCCACTAATAGCAAGGACTTGTGAAGAATTAGAACACCCACTCATTCACCAGGTTGAGTAATAGTTCACTTGGTGAGCTCATGTCTAGATATTGGGAGGCCTGGAATGTGAGAAAGAGCAAAGTTTTGTACATGACACTGAGGAGCTGTCACAGCAAACTGCCTGAACCTAGGGGAGGGACTTTTTGTATTTAGCTTTGAAATGTATGGGCCAGGAATTGCTTACATAGGGAGAAAATGGAACTGACTTAAGAGTATGATGTTCACTGAAGTCGATGTTCAGCAAATCCTTGGAGTGTATAACTTGCTGAGTTGATTTAGCTAACTGTGGGGCCAGGCCATGTCACTTTCTAGGCATGAAGCAAATCTATTTTAGTGCCTCTGTCACAGGCCACCCTGTCAAACAGGGCTGGGGCTAGGTTGAGGTGAGTGAGGCACATAGGATGCAAAATGCTAGGAGGCGTGTACTCTTCTAAGCGAGTGTAGCTTAGTTTTTGCCTTGTTAGCAAAGCCCCACTCTGTATATTCTCCTGTTTCCCTCTCTGGAGATAAGGAATACACAGCAATCACCAAACAAGCCATGGCTTACCTCTGCTGGGAGGAGGAGACTAACTGGAAAGGGGCACGAGGGGACTTCCTAGGGTGACGGAAAAGCTCTACATCCTGATTGGGCTGTTGACTACATAGAGGTGTTTGTCAAAACTCATAGAACTGTACATACAATTATGATCTGTGCCCATGTGCACCGAATGTTTGCATCCCTTCCAAATTAGGATTTGGAATCTTAATCACAAACAAATTAGGATTCTTGTATTGAAATCCTAACTGCCAATATGATAGTAATAGGAGGTGGGCCTTTGATAGGTGATCAGGCCATAAGGGTGGAGCCCTCATGAGTGGGATTAGTGCCCTCATCAGAAAAGATAAGAGTGCTCACTGTTTCTCTCCTCTCTGCCCTGGGAGGGTACAGTGAGGAGAGGGGCCATCTGCACAGCAGGAAGTAGGCCCTCACCAGACACTGGATCTGTTAGCACCTTGATCTTGGACGTCTCAACCTCTAGAACTGAGAGAAATAAATTTTGTTATTCAAATCACTCAGCTTATGGTTTTCTTGTCATAGCAGGCTGAACTGACAAAGACAGTGCATCTTACTGAATATGATTATATCTCAATAAAGAAGTAAATTTAAAAATCCCACTGAGCTATGTCATAGCTTAATTCACCTTCCCAACATGATTTTCAAAGGTTAAAAAGCAGAAACATGCTTTAAATTTTCTCCTGAAAAGGGCTGTGGCTTAAGCCAGCACAGGTACCAGGTAACAAAGACCTGGCTGTGCTCACAGCCATGGGAACACCGTGTTCATGGACGGCCCTAACAGCCTTCTCATTCTCCACCCACACCAGGGACTCTGGGCTTCTCCTGTAAACCCAGGAAAGCTCTCAGAACATTCTCTTTTGTCCCCTTTTCAAATATTTAATGAAAGAAATTTCTGAGTAGCAGGGAGCTTTCAAATGGATATCTCTGGAGGGGACAAAAAGCAATCATCTACTTATATTTTCTGTCTCATTCTCTGACTTCTTTTCTAGCTTTGTCTGAGTCTAGAGGATGGGCTCTGGGGTGGGCACACCTGACTTCAAATTCAAATGTACTAGTTAGATGCTCTTGGGCAAATTACCTAAACCCTCTAAGCCTCGATTTCCCCTAAGTAGAGATGATAATACCAAATCCAGTAGGGTTGTTGGAGGTTTAAATGTGATCACATATGTAAAGCAGTCAGCATGGGGCCTGGCACACTGGAAATGCTTACTGAAATAATAGCCATTAATATTATTTTGTTTGATGACTTGGTAAATAAAGATGAAAACGCAGCTTTCTGGTCAAATTTCACCCCAGCAGCTCTGACGACAGCTATGCTTCTCTGATTGTAAAGAGGGCAGTGCATAGGTGGGGTGTAATTTTATACAACACAGTGTGTACCCCACAGAGTGATAGGATAGAGGTAAGAGCCAGGACTAGTTGATAGAATGCACCAAAAAACACAGATTTGACTCAACATTAAGAACATCATAGAAAGGGGAGATGTTCACCAGCAGATTGTACGGGGTGGAGTCCCTCCTCATTGCAGGTATCTTATACCAAGGTTGTTATAAGGTTCCTGTAAAGGGCTGGAGGTGGGGATAGATGTGCTTCCTCTAGAGGATCAAGCTGAAATGCATTCTTCCCGGACGTTCGTCCTTCTGAGTGGTCTCCTAAACCCTCACCCCCGCCCAAGGAGCTTCTAGTACCAAGCTTCCCTGGACTCTTCCTGGCAAGCACAAATAAACACACATTTACATATATGGAAACTGTTCAGCAGGAATTCCCAGATCTAGGCAGAGGCGGAGAATAGTATTGGAATTGTTTTACCACATAAGGATTTTTAAAATGCCCCCTACACACCCACTTGGTGTACTTTGGAGGCCTCTGGTTGACATTCCTATGTCAGACTTGGATTCTGGTCTAGACTGGGAGTTTAAGCTTTAGTTGATGGCCCAAGATGCATTTCATGTGAGAAGGACCAGCATGAAATGAGGAGAATTCAAATCTCCTAAGATTAAAACAAAAACTCCTCTGACCCCTCATTCCCCCAAATACACCACACACATGCAAGAAGAAATGCACATGCATGCTGAAAAGTACACACATACACACCCCCGGAGGGCACCCATCTGACCTGCCGGCTCAATAGGAGGCTGGGCCCTATTGAGAAAATGTGGGAATAGGGGAGCCTGGGCATTTTCTGAGGGTTGGCAAAGAAAAACAAGAATGCAACATGACGTGAGCCATTGGAAACTTGCCATTGAACCAATCCTGCTAACTGATAGGTTCCAACCAATGGGCCTCATGGGAAACTAATTATGTATCCTACCTGGTTAGGATGGATCACTTAAAATCAAGCTTGTTTAAGGCTGGGCGCGGTGGCTCAAGCCTGTAATCCCAGCACTTTGGGAGGCCGAGACGGGTGGATCACAAGGTCAGGAGATCAAGACTATCCTGGCTAACCCGGTGAAACCCCGTCTCTACTAAAAAATATAAAAAACTAGCCGGGCGAGGTGACGGGCGCCTGTAGTCCCAGCTACTCGGGAGGCTGAGGCAGGAGAATGGCGTGAACCCGGGAGGCGGAGCTTGCAGTGAGCTGAGATCCGGCCACTGCACTCCAG